AAGTAAATGAAGTATTTAATCTTTGGTTTTACATATTCTTATAAAAATTGTTTAATTAAGTTTTCGTTATTGATAGGTAAGGACACTTCTAAAATTTTGTGCTTTTTATTTGAAATATCTTTGACCTCCATTTCATTTCTAAACCAAGTGAATATAAGTATTTGATTAGGTTTAGTATCTACAGCTTCCCTTAATATAGGTATACCTGTTGATTCTAATTCTAACGCTGAGTGTACTGTTTCTGTGCTAATAGATGGTACGGGATAAGTTTGTTCGGTTATATCTATTGGATCAGACGCTGAAAGAGTAGCTGATAGGTCAGACACAGTTATTGTATCGGAGTTGTCATTTGGTTTATTAAGCTCAGCTATGCGGTAAATTTCGTCGGTCAAGCTGTCTACATAGTTTTTAAGGTTTTTGTCTGTATTGGATACGTTCACTTGCATAGAATCAGTGTCATCGTCGGAATCTAATGCGTTTAGTTCGATACGAGATAGGGCGTCAGCGTTAGTGTTCTGCTTTTCATTTTTGTAGATTACCTCAAAATCAAATTCTTGTAAACAAAAATCAAAATCTTGTTAATTTACTATTTAGTTCTTTGAGTGCATAAAGCCAGGCAAGAAGTCGGTGATCAGTATATACGTAAAATTTTTGTCCGTACAGATAAGGTCTGAAATATTTAACTGCCCATATAATTTGTGACAACACGGTGCCTAATGCGACAGAGGACGCATCTGTTGTAAGTATGTAGGGTTTAGATGGTATTGTAAAAGAGGTGCATTGATAAGTAATTCTTTTCATTTCTCAAAAATAGAAGATATATGATTTGTCGATAATAATTTTATTTCTTTTCTTTAAGCAAGAAGTAAGGGGTTAAGTTATTTTTGCGAAATCCCTAATGAAACGACGGTAATAACCTATGAGTCCCAAGAAACTTTTTATTTCAGTGGTAGTTTTCGGTAGTGGGTAATTAATTATTGCTTTTACTTTATCGTCGTTCAATTTAAGTCCATCTTTGATAATACTATAACCTAGATAGAGGACTTCTTTCCGCAAAAACTCAAATTTATCAAGTTGCACCTTGAGGTTAGTCTGTCGTAGTCTGTCAAATATCATGCGTAACTTTTCAATATGTTCTTGGAGACTTTGAGATGCCACAATTATGTCATCTAAGTAGACTAAACAGTGGATCCCTTGCAGGCCTCTTAGAATGTTGTCCATTGCGCGTTGGAAAGTTGCCGGCGCTGTCTTTAATCCGAACGGCATCCTTAAGAACTCGTAATGGTCAAACTCGGTACTAAACGCAGTTTTTTTTTCAGTCACTTTCGTTGACTTCAATCTGATGATAACCGCTTGCAAGATCTAAGGTCGAGAAGTATGTACATTTGTCTAATTTATCAAATATGTCATTTATATTTGGTAGAGGATATTTATCTCCTATAGTTACTTCGTTAAGTCGCCTGTAGTCGATCACTATACGAAATTTACGTTCCCCAGACGCGTCGACCTTTTTTGGTACTAAATGAACTGGGGCACGCCAAGGAGAGAAAGATTCTTGAATGACATTGTCTTCCAAAAGTTTCTCTACTTGCCTCTTTATTTCCTGAGCTTGAGCGGGTGGTTGTCTGTACGCTTTAGTATAAATTGGGTCTTCATTAACGGTACGGATAAAATATTTCACTTGATTGGTGAACGTCAAGGGCAATTTGTCACAGTAAAAGATGTCTTTGTATTCCGTACAGAGCGCAAAAATAGTTTTACGCTCTTCCTCATTCATGTGTTCTAGTCTTAATTTACCTAAATTTTGTAACAGGAGTTGGTCAAAGTCGGTATCAGTTTTATCTTCAAGGGAATTAACTAGGGTTTTCTCACTGTCATTAAAAGTCTCAGTTTGGAAAGGTCGTGTCACAGTCAGGGTCATTTCTTGTTCGAAAGTATTTTGGATAACTGTTGAGGCATATCGGTAATTGCAAGTCACAATAGCACTTGGCATTTTAACACCTTCACAAAACTGCATATAATTTAATATGGCTTCGCCTGAATGTACATCGGTTGGTAGTTTAACACGTAATTCCGATCTAGGAGGTAAGATAAAAATGTGATTTTCAAAATTATGTATAATAGGGATATTTGTAAATTTTGTCGAAAGTATATGATGCTTTAAATGGATGACAGCCTCTAATTGTTTTAATAAGTCATTACCTATGAGGCCATCGTAACGCGAATCTACATTATATATATAGAACTTATGATATTCGGGGCTTTTAAATGTGGGTAGTAACGGAATAACTATGACCTGATTATGGCTACTTGTAGCATGTGTACTAATGACCTCGAAGGGTTCATTAAAAATTTCGTTTTTAAAATATTTGGTATACTTTGCGTGGGCTTATAAATGAACATGTGCTACCGGTGTCCAGCATAAAGGGAAATGCCCACTCTTCATACACTTCGGCCATGAGTGCCCACATATAAAAGCATATAGATATGATAATATGCAATTAAAACAATGATATGGTAAAGGAATTGCTTTAAAAAAATCGGGGTTTTGAAAATATAGAAGTTTTTATTTTCACAAATGCAGTTTTTTTAACAACTATTTTTATCGATTTTATCGCGTTTTATTTCTTTGATTTTTAATTCCAGACGTTTCGGGTGCTTTCCAGCACCCACGGTTACGGCAGACTGAGGTGACTGACGTCCCAATGTCAGTTATGGTCCGATCTACAGAATGAACTTAATGTGTCTTGAAGTCTTGCAGTGGTATGCTTGGGTTTAATTTTAATTTCATTAATTACAGGGTCCTGAGCAGGTGTTAGTACTAAACCTCCTTCTCTATTGAAAAAAGAATTTTTTTATTTCAATAGTCTCATGTATCGTCCTTTTAGAGGATTTGTGGTCTATCAAATCTTTTTTTGATGTCTATCTGGTTGGGGCCATCCAGGATATGATCACAAACTGCAAACTTCCCTGAACTTTGATGCTTCACGTCAGCTCGCTTCAAGATGTAGCCAATCTTGTCTGTGACACCCCTGACAAATACTAGTACTGCACATGCTTGACTGTGGCCGGCTTCACTCGATCACTGTGACATAAGCGCGGGCCCGAAGCTTGTTAACGTGCAGAACCTGCTTGACGTGCTGAAGCTCGACGGCCAGATGTTTGCTGCCACAGATCCCTGGTGCTCTCTGTAACAAAGATTTGCTCACGGTAATTAACTGTGAAAGATGATGGTGAGATTCATTATTTTCTATACACAGTGTGACCTATGGTGTTGTTAGAATTTTGGATGACTAACACATCTAGGAAAGCTAAGGAATTATTTGCCTCTAATTTACACATGAATACATCTTTCAGGAACTGAGCAGGAAGCAAAATATTAGTCTGATGCCGTGCCCAACCCAAATACCATATTACTGTCATAACATGGGCACACCATCCAACCGTTCGACAGCCGACAGTACTTTTTAATTGCACTTGTACCAGAACCATTGCCACTAATTAAAATATATATAAAATACACTTTACGACTAAAGGAGTCCGCACACTAATGGGAACGGAAAGGGATCGTAACCGTATCGCCTTTCACCTCGCTGTCAACCAGGCGTCAACCTACCGTATGCACGTAACGAAAGCGTATCAGCAGCGCCTGTACGTCAACTCGGCTACGGCTAGGCGACACCGCGCTTACGCCTCGCCGCCCGCTGGCTGACCTGGTTGGCACCAGATCAGTTTGAATCCAAACGTTAAGTGTAGCGCACGGTTATGTCTTGGTTTACAATACGTGAGTTGGCTATCATAGCCATAGTACTTGATGAAGAGGAAAAAGAAAATAGCAAGAAAAAAAGGAAAAGATATTGGGTACACAATATGAATAAAGCAAGGAGTACTGAAGGGGAATTTCGGACTATAAAAAAACATTTGATGGATGATGAAGAGAAATTTTATATTTATTTTCATATGCCGAAATATCTCTTAAAATATTGCAGTCTATAGATGAATGTATAAGGAAGAAGAAAAATACAACATTCAGAGAAACAATATCGCCCGAAGAAAAACTAGCTGTAACGTTAAGGTGAGAAATTGCATTTGTTTTTGGAATTTTTAATCTGGTCTACAAAAATATTTGTACAGACGCCAGCTTTTCCCAATCAACTTTGAACCTAATGCTTTAGCGATAAAGTTGAAAATCTATTAAAGAATTTTGACAGATTGTAGTAGGTTGATGTGCTGGCGTCTGTAGTGTACAAAATAAAACTCGGTTCCGAAACTCCGAGATAGATTAATTTTTACCCTCTGTCGATAAAATTATTTGTTTTGGAACGCAACCCTCATAGCGATCAGGTGTGTACGGGGGGTGTACGTGTTATGTCTGATGTGTGTGTGTATATTTTGTGTGTGTGCGTAGAGAATAGAATAGAATATACTTTATTGTACACCAACATTATATCAACTATTTTACAATATTCAAAACGTATGGGTTAGTAACTGCAACTTTTTTTTAGTTTAGGTAAAAAAAATACTCATAAATCACATTTTTTTTATCATTCTAAAAGATATCATAAAATCAAAAAATTATGGCAATTTAACAAAAATAGCGCTACAACAAAAATACAATCATTGTATAAATTAAAGAATGTTTGAAGTATTAAGATCGTCAGCATTTGACGTGCCATTTTCTTCTAAGTTTGACATATTAAAATCATCAATGTTTGAAGCGCCAGATGTTGATTGTATCTCGTGGCTAATGTTATTTAGAGTGGTATAACCTCGAGGCATGTCATCTTGTCTTTGGGGAATGTAAGGGTTGCGATAACTGTAATAGCTTTGTTTCTCTGCGATTTCTTTTAACTCCATTTCCGAAACTGCGTTATATATTTTACTTTTTATAACCGCTTGGTTATATTCAGAAATTTTTTTAACCGTTGCCGCAATGCTGTTAAAAAATGTTTCTATCTCATCTTCTTTTTTGGTTTCGTTGTGATTTAATAAATATTTCATTAAAGTTTGTGACGCTGAATTGCTTTCAACTTTTTTTTTGAAGTTTTGGATGTAACTGAAAATGCAGAAGACTTAGGACGCGGCGAAAGTGCAGAAGTTTCCGGTTGTGAGTTTTCTGGAGACTGAATGTTTATTGAGTTCTGTGAATCATCATTACCCAAGAAACTGCTAACATCAGAATCGTCATCATAATCAACCGAAGAGATCGTATTTCTTTCTTTGTAATGAGGTACTAAAAAACTCATTTCATCTTCAAAGGTCCACTTTTTCGTCGTCGGGGCTGCCTGACCACTCTTAGTTTTACGCTTCTTCATAGCTCGTCGGTGAGACTCTCTAAGATTTAACCAAGTTTTCTTGCATTCAGATTCTGAAATAAAATAAATCATGGTTAACTATGTCAAGCGCATGTAGTTACATAATGTAGGTATGTGTGAAAGGGAGTACGTACACACACACATTCACATAAACATATACACGTATTATATAAATATACATTTATTGTTGCAGGTACTTCATAACTGGATCTACACTTACTAATTTATCATCGAGCTTCCGTTTAGGAGAATCAACTATTCGTTTGATAGTAATAGATGTGTGCAATGCAATAATAAATAAATTAATGCCAATTCATATACCTCAACCAACTACAGCCGCATGGCAAGGAATCGAAAAAGGATTTAAAAATAAATTGTACTTTCCGAATTGCATAGGCGCCATTGACGGCAAACATGTAAATATAATTGCACCTCCCAATAGTGGATCGTTGTTTTTTAACTATAAAAAAACATTTTCTATTGTTTTGTTAGCTATAGTTGATCCTGAATACAGATTCATAGCGGTTGATGTCGGAGCCTATGGAAAAAACAGCGATGGCGGAATCTATTCGTCATCTACATTTGGAAAGGCACTTGAAAGAAACACATTAAATATTCCATGTGACAAACCATTACCAGGTACTAATCATGCAATGCCACATGTATTTGTGGGAGACGAGGCATTTCCATTGAAGACATATTTATTAAGACCATATCTTCGCTCAAGTATACGGAGACTATCAGATCCTGAACGGCAATATAATTACCGCTTATCACGAGCTAGAAGGGTTGTTGAAAACGCTTTTGGAATTTTATATCAAAAATTTGCGATTTACAACAAAAATATTAAATTGCATCCAAAGTTTGTAGATAAAGTGGTATTAACAACTTGCATTTTACACAACATGATGAGGACATATAACATTGAGATGAATTTACAGGAACCGAACAGAACAGAACATGAAATTACAGTTGAATTCGGCGAAGACCGATTGTTAAGTCAATTACCAAATATTAGTGGTGCCCATATGGCTACTGCTTTTAATGTACGTGAAATGTTCAAAACATATTTTCAAACTTCTACCGGACGAGTACCATGGCAGAATTGTAGCTTTTAGCTTTAAATATTAATGTTAATTCTTAATGGATATTAAAGTTAAATTTTACATTATAATAATCACATAAATTATATTAATACAACTTTTATTTCCCATACACACCTACATACGCGAAAAACTAGATAAAAAATTAAATAGGAGTAGGTACTTACCAGATTGCTTTAAAGTAATACTTATTTGTTTCCAAGCCTCGTCCTTTTTTATACTATTACTGTATTTAGCGTCACTTAAGTCATATAAATATGGATATTTTCTCACTTCTTCAATAAGTTTCTCCCTTTGCATCGTTATTTTGTGTTTGAATCTAACTTAAAATTTTAAATAAAACATACGCGCAACACAAATGAAATACGCCTTGCGAATGGAAGGATGGCGGCGTCTTTCTCTTTAGCACGCAAGTCGCAGGAGGGGACAGGGGACGGAGAGACGTAAGCGCGGGGACGGAGAGACGTAAGGAGCCGTAAGCGCGGGAATTGCAAGTTCGGAGCCTGTTCTGAGGGGAGGCGATCACGGTACGATTCCGATTAGTGTGCGTTGCAGTAGGGAGTTTAAATACAAACCATTCTGAACGACTCGAGGCGATACGGTTACGATCCCTTTCCGTTCCCATTAGTGTGCGGACTCCTTTATGGTGATGACTTGCAATTCTAGCCCTAAGTAAAGATCAGCTAGGGCTTAAGTTTATTCCTTCCATAATGCTGCTCCTCTGGTTATTACAGAGTTCTATCCGGTAGCAACCATTAAATCTTATATCCTCACCATAATAGTAGCGAGCTTGCTTTAATTGGTATGTGACACAAGCAATTAATATTAAGTCGCTGTAAGTTAAAACAGGAAATTCCCTAACATTTTAAAGTCTACATTTATATTTCTAAAGTCTGCCTGCCCTAGCTCTGATTTAGCATAGACAAATCATTATTTGTCTCCATATTTTGGTGAACTATTTCAAGTATTTGAGCCGCATCATCCTTAGACATCCACATCTATCCTCGATTACAAATCAAAATGCAGATGCGTTGTCACCCGTGAGGACTAAGATCATTTTTTCGTTTCCAGTAAAAAGGGTCTCCGGTTCTCTACACTCGCCATACAAAACACAGCAGCATTAAGCTACTATTTCACGCTTGTATTCTGTGAAAGCGTGGTCCTTCCCCGGTCAAGCCGACCCATTAATGCTACAACTATACTTCTAATATAACTGCAGCATGGCTCTACCACGTATAACACACATACATTGTAATTGTCACTATGTATGTTTGTTATCGCAAAATGTAGTTAATCACAAAAGAGACATACTCGCAATGCTGATGGAACTGTTACAACCAGATAAAAAACATTGTGCTTTTAAATAATTAGCAGTACACTTTGTGATCTAAGCTTTGTTGTTCTGGTAGCAATACATTACTCACTTCAGATTGCAACGAGGACAGACTAGATGATTCAGATGGTTCCCGTTCTGCAGTTGAACGTGATGCTGTTCTATCAGTTCATTGCCAGCAATTATGATATACACGGCATGACAACGGCAACTGAAATAATGTAAAATACAAAAATGAAGTCAAAGTGAAAAAATAAAAATAAAATAGATTTATTTATTTCAAACTCAAATATAAATAAAATATTTATCAAGTTAAATGTTACTGCACAAGGACGGATTTAATTCCCTATATTATTTAATAATTAAGGCCTGACAGACTACCAGCAGTTCAAAAACAATGAAAAATCAACTGTCTCCTTTCTTGGTAGTTGATAAAAATGGTCAATCTCATAAATAAGCTAGTATGTTTGTCAGATATAGCTAGTGCAGATGTGAAAAAATAAAACAAGTTCTTGAGTTGATATACAATCAGTGTAAAAACATGTGTAATTACCAGAAATGAGGATCACATTTAATAAATTGAAAAATGTTAAACACTTACCTCACGTGGAGAATCGAACCCAAACAATGTGTGTGATCTTATTCTCATAAGTGTCAGTGCCACAGCTGATGTATACATGTTCAAGACGAACTATTGGTACATTTTGCGAGTGGCACACTACACGTTCACTGTACTCGAAAATTGTACCTAATAAAGAAGCTACAATTATTATATTGATATTATTCAAGTAGACTCAGTTATAAAGCATTTCTTAGAGGAAGAGATGCCACATCGTGATATGTACCAACTATTTACCTGCTGTGTTCGAAACAATTGTTGAGAGATCAACGATTGCATTTTTCAACAAAACAAAATAACACGATAACACGCAATTGAATTCTTGTGACGTAACAGTGACAGGGGCCTACCTGTCAGATTCGATTTTGCCACTTAACTGTCATAAAATCTATGAAACGATATCGATTTGTATTCGATTAATAATATCATAAAAAGAATAATCTGACGCGTTTTAAGTTCTGCACGCTTTTTAAAATATAATTTCCTTTATTTATTGAAATTCTATTTCAAATATATTTTTAAGAACAGTTAGCTTGTGCTGTATTGTTTTGTTATGCTTTAGAGAATTCGTGGTAAATCAGCTAGAAATTAACTTCTTGAATTATCATAACATGATTCGATTTTAAATGTTATGTTAAGAACAGATAAGAATAACAGTTAACTTGTGCAGTAGCGTTTTGTTATACTCTAAAGGAATTCTTGTGGTAATTCGCTTGTTTAATTATCATAACTATAAATGTGAAGGTTATCAATGAATTCAACCGAGCCTATAACAACGTTTGTTTTAGTTTTTAACGGTTGACTACCGCTTTTGATGACTTGAAATGGATAAAAACCCATTTTGTGCAATAAGTTTTTTGTCTTTGGTAATGAATAAACCACAGAAACCCCTATAATGTATAATAGTCCTTTTTTAGATACAAGTAGCACTTTTTAAAGAAACGCAAAAACAACTTTGTTATTTATACAAACACTATGAAAAACAAAATAATTTGTTGCTGGCGATAATGATAGTGGTATTTTGACTCGATTTAAAATATATTGTTACGCGCCTAAGTTGACGGCACTAGTGTCAGAGACGAGAGCGAGGGGAGCTTTCCAGAAAGTGACATCACTAATCTTTCAACCGACAGCGCCATCTACTCTCGAACCGAAGCACTAAACTTCTAGAAGTTGAAACTCGAACTCTCAGTACCTTGCGCGTGTTTACTTGAATATTCTGGATATTTCGGTGCTAATTTATATTTATAGGCGCTGCAAGATGCGATCGGAGAAGTATTGAATTCGGCGAGACAAGCGAAGCTTCGGAGCGAAATAAAGTGTAATGAATTATTGGTGTTTTAAGTTTTAATTTGTGTAAAGAAAATTAAAGTGTTAATTTAGGTAATTCTATCGGCAATTTTTATTGTCACGTACCTCAACCTCGTAACAATATGCTTGTTACTACAGAACTCTTCATGGGCCTGCGAGTCCGACTTGCACTGAACCACTTTTTTTCAACTTTTAGTTTTATTTTAATAAATAGTTTTTTTCGTTTAAGCGTAGCTCTTTTACTTTAGATTTATTACCTCTTTATCTATAATAATCAATCTGAGTAAGTAAAATTTGTAAATACGATTCTTAAATTGTAAAAATAATAATTGGATTTGAACATCTTATGTAGGTATTTAGTTTTATTTATTTAGAAAATATTAATCTCACAATTAATTACTGTAATAATATAAATTTATCACACAGCTAACGCCCTCATTAGCAATGTAATGGTGAAAGAATTTTCAAAATCGGTCTAGTAATTTTTGAGATTAGCCAAAAAACGTATTCATTGAAAGTAGCGCCCTCCATAATAAAATTAACCCTATATTAGATATCCAAAATTATACATAACAATCTAGTGGTGAAAGAATTCTTAAAGTTGGTCAAGTACTTTACGAGTTTAGCGAAAAAAATATTCTTTGATAGTAGCACCCTCAATAATAAAATGCATCCTACGTTTTTAAGCACCATAGCAAAAACGATCTCGTCGGAGATTACAATAGCCTCATTATTGATTTCAATAGCCTCATAGTGTTCACAGACTGCAGACTTCCCGGAGCGTCTGCAGTCTGTGAACACGTACAGGATCGCCCCCGTCACTACATCAGATTATTTGGTAGACCACAAATCCTCGCTAAAGAACACCGATTCCTTCCAAGGATGATTCGCGAGGCTATTGAAATCAAAAAACATCCTAATTTCAATAGAGAAGATGGCTGGGTGCTACCATCTGCTTGGGATCCTATAATAAATAAAATTAAATCCCAACCCAAGCATACAACTGCAAGACTTCATGATACCATAAGTTTATACTGTGTAGATCGGAACAAAAGTTAAATTTTAATCTATGATAACCGCGGTTAACTATGACATCTGGACGTTGAACATCTCAGACATCTCAGTCCTTCCCGTGACCATGGGTGCTGTAAAGCTCTCGAAACGTCGGGTATTTAAAAAGTTAAATATACGCGATAAATTCCGTAAAAACTAGTATTATTTCAATGTGTAGTGTTCGCGTAAATATAAGAAATCATTATAAGTAGTAGTTTTACAAAATGCTATGAAAAATCTACATTTAAAATAAAAATACAACCTAATATAAAACGAATAACGAACAATTGGATAAATAAAAAAATTATAAATGCATGTACACAAAGGGATATATTATTTACACGGTGGATTAAGGATACTGGCAATATGGTTTTAAAGAAAGAATTAAATAAATCAAGAAATTATGCTAATAAATTAATAAATAATACCAAAAACAATAAATTAAGAGCTGAAATTAAAAACAATAAAAATAACCCTAGGCACTTGTGTGTTTACTAGTTGAACTATGTAGTTGACCTGTTGTCCTGCTGATACACTAGAAGGGTTGTTGGTAAATAAAACGATCCGCAACAGTGTATGATCTAATTTGTTCTATATTTTGAACTATATTTTCAGTGCCTTTTATAATAAAAATTGACATAACAACGGTAACGTCATTTCTCAAAAAAAAAAAGAACTAAATCTTTTTTAAAATTCAATAATATGTTTTCTTCATAAATTTGGAATATACTGGCGTATAAGTATATATAGCATAAACATACCGCCCACCAAGGACATTTGGTGATGGAATGGCCTTCTAAAAAACTTAACTAAATGTCCTTCTAAATTGTACTTACATCTAAAATTTGCACTGAGTACTTAATAACAAATTAACTTCATAAACTAAGAGGTAGTAATTCTAAACTTAACTAATACATGTTATCGTAAATGGAAAAGTAGGTAAACATTTAATATAATAATATTTTACATAAATTTGACATAAAA